GAGCTCTTCATCAGCGAGTAGGGAATGGGAATTTGCATATGCCGCAAGGCAGAAACAAGTTTGCATTCCTCCAGTTGGCCACCCGGCAGTCGAGATCGCAAGAGTGTTCCCCGGGGGACTGGGCTTGATTAGAGGAATGTGCAAAGTAGCTTTGAGATACTTCTGCGTCTGGGGATTACCATAAAATGTGGTGGCCAAATCTCATTGTGCCGATAAGCAAATTACATTTTTGGGGAGTGTTTTTCGGGTGAGAGCTTTTTAATGGCATAAGTAGCCACGAGATACAAGCAGGGATTACTTCGAAATCCGTCAGATAATAGAAAAAGACCTGCATAAAAACAGACTTGCGAGAAAGTAGCTTTACTTCGATTGGGGATTACTATAAAATCTGATAGAAAACAAAATCAAATCGCATTTAGTTTTTTTTTTTTGAAGTGAAGCTTTGCGAGATCATTGAAACTTTTACAGGTAAAATTTCTCAAAAGTTGAGAGATCGGAATAAAGGTTACCCCGACGTCTCTTAATAAGCCTTTCCCACTGATTGCTTTAGCTATTTTTAACCCAAGCACTCTCTTTTCAAGCGCTCTTAAAGCCCACTCGTCAGTAAAATTATGCATGAAATGTTTGCACACAAACCCGCAAAAGAGTGTTCTTTGAAGTGCTTATAACGTCATCGAATCTGAATTTTTGTCGTGTAATTGTAGACTTGGGTGTTTGTTTCGCGTTTTGCTCTGTGGTTTGCGCAACGTGCTTTTTGAAGTCGGAATGCAATTTTGTTTTGGGCTGTCTGTAATAACAAACCCATATCAGAGTTCGTGGCTCGTAAAAAACACATTAAAATCGTTTGAGATTCATTTAAAATCCATATTTTATGGAACATTTGCCGATGTTAAACAAGTCTGATGGGCCACAAGGCCCAGAACTTTCAAATTCAAGTTCCCTTTCCTAATGTAACAAATTTATATTTCGTTTTCGATGACGATTTTATTTTTATGGCCCGACACTTGAGTAAACATTTATGTTTCTCGGTTCTCAGGCTTAGCCAATTAAAAATTCAATGGGCAAAGTTGCCCCCTCCAAGGGCCCCTCACATGATTTCAATTTCAATTAGTCTCCGGAATAGATGTTTAAGATATGAGTTATGACTAGCTGGAGTATTTCGTTGCCTTTGTTTTCGTGACATCTTCGGGTCCCCGGCTGTCAAAAATGAAATTGAATTGTTCCCCGGCTTGTCAGACGATCGTTTGATTGCCACTTGGTACATTTTAATTAAAACTAAAGCGAGGAGAGGGTTGCTGCTGATAGGACCGACCTTACCCCACTGAACTCTGCCGGAAAACAACCCAACCGAAACCAAGTCGATAACGAAAATATTCTTTGGAAACTTCCTGCGAAACGCGGCGGAAATATCTCAAAGCCCCCGTTAAGTGTTAGATTAGTGTGCAAATATTGGATTTGCTGTGACTGTTGAGTGTTTACTATGAGTGCTGGCTATATGGTATGTGAATACCGTATCCAGATATCTTTCGGGTGACTCAACGTTCGTTAAGCTTAAAATTTTGGGTTCACACGTGTTTCGGCTTCCACTGAGTCTCTCCCCCATATGCAAATCATTCGCGATTAAGTCATATTTTCGACCCTGCTCGAATAGGAAGTGGGTAGGCACCACTAATTAATCAGAAACCAGCTCTTTTGGGAAAGAAACCAAACAGAAATACAGTTGGTAGAACAGCTTAAGTTCGACTTCGAGTCGTTGAAAGTTTCTGCTGGCTTTCGACAATTTTCTTTGTGTCATTCAAGTGAAAGTTTCAAATTTTCCCATAGGAGATTAACGAACTGAAGTTCGATTGCTAGAGTTATTATCTGGCTACAAAGTCTGTTTCCGCTTGCAAAAGTTTCTGAAAAATCTTAAAGACTTAGCATGCTTTTCAGATAATCAATCACACCGACTTAGTCACACTTAACGCCGCTGGATTCGCGAGATTCATAATTGCCTGGCACTTCCCCTACAATCAAAGGAAATCAATCAAAGTGCTTGGAAACCTGTTGCTTAACTCATCTCAACTGTTACAGAAACCATCGGGTTTAATGGGCCTATATCCGCCATAACGAATCTTAATTATACCACAATTAAATGGAGACGCGTGCTTGGCTCCTCCTTGGTCGCAAAATTAATGGTTCTTCTCGAGTCGATTGAAATTCATTGCAAATTAGGCAATACCCAGCAAGTTTCGATTTTAATTGATTTCTATTGTGCCAAAAGATGAGTTTTAGAGAAATTTATTCGAGGAATTTGTGCCATATCTACGGAATCTATAAATCCCACCCGTTGTCATCTTCAGCTGCTTCTTTTGTCCCCAGAGATTTCTATTTGCGAGTAGTGATGTCATCGCTTGACTATTTGGTGTGTAGATTAAAAGCTTGGTTCAGACGCTTTTCCCAGCCTGGGGAAAAGCTAGAGGCCGTTGGAAAACACCAATTGAAAACTGTTTTCATTGCCAGAGTCTCACAAAAAATCAGTTAAAACCGCTGAAGCGGCGCCCCAAATAATCGATCCCAGCATTTGCATAAACAAGGCCCTCAAACAGAATGCGAAAGCAGGGAGAAAACCAAATTAAATTCGGTAGCCGGTGGCGCATGCGCAGAACCCTGAAGAACGAAACGAATTTTTGGGCTTTGAACCAAGCTCGACTCCGAGGTGCGGTGATGTCATCAAAACAACATCGGTTGCGGGTGTATATCGCAGATCGTATGTGGTACAGCCCCTCCGGGGGGCGTGACCAAATGCCAAAAAGTAATAAAGGCAATGGGCACGAGGAGCTGGGGGCTCCGAGCTCTGAGCTCTGAGCTCAACATTGACTAATTTTCGCAAATATCTTTTGGGGCACATCACATAGACAACAACACGTACGATCGGAGCGAGTAAAACGAGCGAAGTGAAGCTCTCTATAAACAATTTCGATTTCAACAAAGCAAAAGGCAACCAAAGCCATAAAAGCAATAGACGAAGTATGTAATATTTCTTGCCTTTTCAATCGTTATGAGACAATAATCAGCCAAATGTTTGGTAATCATTTCTAAACAGCAAACCAAATTAAGGTTCCGCCTATGAGTAAAGGTTTGAAGAGGGTTTTCAATAAAACGGACATCATAGATTTATGGGAGGAGTATATATAAATCTTTTAAAACTAATCTAAAAATTATAAAGAATATACACATTTTAAGTGTTCATAAATCATTGATGTTCTGAGCGCTCAGAATAACTCCTCCCAAAACAGATATCCAGTTTGATTCCATTGTTGAAACCAAGTTTGGCGCAGCTTAGCTGTTTTCTCTTCAAAACTGTTTGTTATTTTCTCTCTTTGATTTGAAAATTGTTTAGCATGCCAGGCACAAACAAAAGAATTTATAACACTGTGCTTTTCTACTTTTTGTTCGTCTGTATTCTTCTTTTTGACTGAGGCTAAAACCGAATTTTAATTTCCAGCCACTGATGAGGTAATTTTATGCATAGAAATGATGACAACAAAGCCCACCAATTCCCTAATTTGCCGAGCTATAGGTCTCATTATTTTGCGTTAAAACCGAGATGTCAGTAAAATTGGGCTTTTATCAGACGTATTCCATCACTCACGCAAAAGTAATTAAATCTGGTAAAAAGCTGAGATGGTATCTAAAAAGCAAAGTAGCTAGAAGCTTTAGTTATCTTTGATATACTTTAAAGTATCAAGTGGTTCTGTGTTGGCCAAATGATATCTGTGGCTTTGCATATGGGCCATTAAAATTAAGCATACAAAATGCTAAATGTTTATTGATCTATGCAAATTTTTACACGATTCCGAGGTTGTTGCACGCCTTGTTCATTAGCTAACCGGGTATGTGGAACGCCGGAGATTAAGGTCTGCCCGAGAGCCCCGAAAAGAATCGAAACGAAAAAAATCGTGTTTAGAGTGTTTGCGATGAGTGAAGTGTGGATGTTTAAAAATAGAAAGAGGCGCGCGGCTCGAGGGTTCCTGCTCCCGAGGCCCAGCTGCCGCGCATGTGCTCTGGTGTTATACGGAATCCCGATTGGAGTAAACAGGATGCCCGGAATTCGACCCTCAGTTCGCATTTGCCCCTGACGCGGGCTTTATAAATAGTTTATAGACAAAGACAGCTGTGTGTGAGTTGAGGAGCTCGCACTGTATGTTTCCTTGTTTTTGGGATATATCGCCCCGGTTTAATTGCCTTTCCGGCTAAGCCTAAAGTTATGCCGCAGTTCTAATTCCAACAATTGGATCCCTTCGCGTTCTGTTTGCCATTCCATGCTGATAAGGCGAATCGTTATCGCGGTATGGTAAAGTTTATTGTCACACTGGCCGTGTTGTTCGTTTTTATTGTTTAGTTTTCACCTCTTTTTAATTGATTTTTCTGTTTGCCAAAGCGAAGTGTTCTGTTTGCCAATGGTCGAATGGGCGAATGCCTTCCAGGTGACCTCAGCGGGTTTGGCTTTGGCGGCACTTGTGGCTAACGATCTAATAGCGGCACTATGACACTCACTCGAGCAGGCAGCAGATTGCAGATTACAGCTCTTTCGCATGATGTCATGGGAATTGATCAAATTTGGCACTCACTCAATGGGCCATTCATTAGTCTGCGGCTTCTGACAGGGCTCCATAAATAACTTGATATTGCGGTGCATTCCCCTCCATAAATACCTGGCAACATATGTCCGAGGTATGCGGGATTTATCGGCGATAAGATAAGCCCCAGGGCCTATTTGGCCTTATGTCAATGCGAAGATCTGCCCGATCCCCCGCCCTTTTCCCCTCCGCCGCCTGCAATCGCAATCGCCGTGCGATAAAAGGAATTCACCATAGGCCAGTTGAAGAATTCGCTGCCACTTTTGGGTTGGCTTTTAATTCATCTGATAAACACAGCCAAAAGGGGGAGGAAGCTTTCCCCCACTCTGAATTCTGAATTGTGGGGGCCAGCGCTCTGTTGGGCCCACATTTTTTTTCAGTGACTAAACGGCGCGGGCTCCGCGAGCAACTTGCTGTAGAATCGAAAACTAGTGACCCGCCCCGAAAAGAATTGAAAAGCGAAATCGTAACCCTAGTAGCAGCACTTGGTGCTGGAAAACCCAGAAACATTTCTTGCGAAACCCCCTCGAAATCAGTGATCAAAGACCATGGAGTACAACAGCGTTCTTCGCTCGAACTTCTCGCGCAATGAATATCGGAGATACATATCCTACGAACGCCAGTCGTTGGGTAGGTTTGATTCTGATTTTGAACTTGAACTTTCCCTGGAATTGGAAAACTCTCGATTGTTATACAACCTGAAACCGAAACGAAAGTAACCCGCTCTTATCTGCCTTTTGGGTGGAACTTCGTTTTCGGTTGATAAGTGCGCAAATATTTGACAAATGAGTCGGCCGACTGACGGCCTAGAAAAACGGGTTCGTTTTCTGCAGTTTCCGCTCCATTTTTGGTTCCGGGCCATTTTTGGCATACACTCTTGCCCAGTATTACGTAAATCGAACCGTTGATAAAAAGTAACACAGTCGCGAAGCATTTTCCACGGGTATGAAGTAATTTCGGCAGTCGACAGATAAGCTCGCCAAGGCAACAATATCTCTTGGTAGTATTTTGTTTTCGATACGCTTGCTGGGGGTATAATCACTGGGACGGAAAGCTTGGCTCTCCGACTTGGTTTGTTTATAGTTGAATGGGCAGAAAACTGCCAGAAGATGTGGTAATTACTATAATCATGTTTACAAAAGGAAGTTTTCAAAATCAATTTAGCTTTTTATGAAGTCGTACAAGTTTCGAAAACATGAAATTATACAAGCGACTATTTTATAAATATTACAGCCCCTGAAAGATGTTGACATTTGGTTATAGTGTCTTTTATGCTATCCGAAGACTTATATTCCTTTCTCAACCTTTTGAAATGGTTTAATTTGTTAGCAAGCTTGTGCAATTAAGATCCAAATGTGAAACGCCAATCAAGCTGGCTTATCTTTACGGTTTGAAAAGTTCTACTACGTGATGAGGTGTCGAAATTGAACATTTTGTGGCTCTTCGTTAGTAATTCCCCACGGTAATCTGCGACATTGCTCAGGCTCGCTGATAGAATGGTTTAAAATTAGGAATTACGCGTAAGCTATAAGTAAACTGCCTTGGAATGTCGCCTAACTTTAGACAGTGTTCAGTGTTTAGTGTTTTTTATAGAGTCAATTATGTTGGCGATAACCTGTTATCTGTGAATCAATGGGTTCGGACGTCACGGGTGTGCTTTCTCTATCTCTACCACATACTTCCCGTATTTTTCCTCCATTTGCCATTTGCCGTTTGCCCATTATTGATTTTGGACTGTTGTCAGGTGGCTTACCCATTTCCCTGCTCTGCGAGGGGAAAATCAAAACAAACAGAAAAGCTAAACGTTTCCCGCCGCACTCGTACGACTTCCACTAATCCGAGATTTGTTTTGTTCCTTTTCCTGTTCTTTAGCATCACAATATGAGCCGGGAGGCTACTCCGCGCTGCAGACGTCGACGCCTTCGAATCGCAACTCCGCCAACATGACCCAGCGGGACGGCATCATCAAGTTCGAGAACGAGCGGATCAAGACGCTCCAGGAGGAGCGGCTGCACATTCAGAAGAAGACATTCACAAAATGGATGAACTCCTTTCTGATCAAGGTGAGTGCAAAGAAGTTATTGTGACTTTGATTAGTAAGTGGGAAGGTTTCTCAAAACTATAACCTACCTGATTAATAATATCCACTATAAACCAGCTATAAACCATTCCCAAGTTATCACAAGTCAAAGCATTTGTTGAAAATGAAAGCGACACCCAAAATTATACATTCACCTCATATTTTGATTGGTGGAAATTTGTACGGCACCTCCAATGTCTATATGAATGCAACTCACATTTGGGCTTATTGTCTTCTCCGTAGGCCAAAATGGAGGTCGAAGACCTATTCACAGACCTGGCCGATGGCATCAAGCTGCTCAAGCTGCTGGAGATCATATCGTCGGAGAAACTGGGCAAGCCGAACAGCGGACGCATGCGCGTCCATAAAATCGAAAATGTCAACAAGAGTCTGGCATTCTTGCACACCAAGGTGAGATATAGCATTTTCCCATTTGTGTGTGTGTTGTGTTGTGTTGTGTGTGGGGACTGGGGAGTGAAGACTGGTAAGAGGAGAGCTCTCTACGCATTTGTAGAAAGTGCAAGTCGCGCCTGCGCAGCTGCGCGTGGCCATTGCGTGCTTTGTTTGCCGTATGAGCAGCGCGGATCTGGCTTTCGGATAAGGGGATACCGAGGGGATCCGAGGAAACGGGGACTGGGGGATCTGGAGACTCGGGTGAAGTGAGAGGAGACGACGCCAAGACACGGCTTAAAAGTATATATTTAATTACCTCGCCTGGGCCCCGACTTTTCTTGGCAATTTCTGAAATATTTGCATACTTTCTAATGCATTTCTTTCTCCACTTCACTTCGCGTGGCACATTTTCCATCCAGCAACGGATCCAGCGGACTTTCTTTGCACCTCTCGTGTGCATTTGATTTTAATTGTGCAAAACGGCAGCTTAGCGTGCGACATAGTTTCGCGTCTTCTGGTTAGTCAGGGGCCTCTGTGCTAATCTAATTAGAAGCAATTAAACGCCGCAATTTGTCCCATTGCCCAGCTAATTCGCTTTGCTTCTTAAGCGCCTGCAGTGAAAGTTTCGGTTTTACTTTCCACCATTCCATGTCGCATTTTATTTGTTTTTCGGGCTTGTCTCTCGCGTGTGTGTTTGTGTGTGACACGGGTATCGAGTGCATTTTAATTGGTTTTAGGCCCGAAAGAAGCCCGAGCGAAAGATTTACGCACAAGCGAGCATTTGACGGAGGATCCCTGGGGAACCATTGGAGCGTTCAGGGGAGCACGGCTCTCGGAAATTCCAGTTGTTTATTAGGTGAACTTAATGGCGGAGCTACTGAACCTTTATGCTCCGGAACGTTTTCCATAGAGAACATTAAAGTAAATTGTTTCAGGGGAAATGTAATAATTTTTAGGCTGCAGTTTAAAAATCAAGCTAAATTAGATAGATCCCTTCCCAAAAATTATCCCAAAATATAATATACGCCCCGTTGTCGGAAGAACTTTTTGAGGTCAAAAAAATATGTAAAGCTAATTTCCATATCATTATTTAGATTAACTTCATGAAACGCCCCAATCTTTATATATATTTTAAAAAATGCATAAAAATTCTTAAAATCTTTAGGGTCATTAATACCTGTAAATAATAAAGGGCGTAACTGAAATTGGTTTTTGAGTTTTAAATAAACTCAGCAGAGATCTCTCCATCTTAATTTGTGCCGTGGCCATAAATCAGTGGCCGAGCGCTGGCCACTTTGTAGCTATGATAATGCGATTTAGATCGATATCAGCTGGGATTACCGTGCGGGCTACCTGACCTACTATAAATGCAAATGGCAGGCGGTCGGTCGACCCAGTTGAACCCGGCGGAGGTCAAGCACCCCACCTGATAATGCGTGACTCGGTGGAGAGACCCAGTTTGGATTCGAGTATCGCTATCTCCGCCTCCGTGGGTTGAGTGGTGGCACTCTGGTAACCCAATACGCGGCTTACCCACTCCACAGCCATTCAATGGAAATGAAAGAAATGCAGAGGAGACAGTGCGCAGAATGAGCAGCAGAGTAGTAATGCATCGATGGTTTCTGCTTCTCAGGTCCGCCTGGAGTCGATCGGTGCCGAGGACATTGTCGATGGCAACCCCCGTCTCATCCTGGGTCTCATCTGGACCATCATTCTGCGGTTTCAGATTCAGGAAATTGAAATCGACGTGGTAAGTTTTGCTGCTACAAAGTCGCATAATTAGGAGAGTTTCATTAATGGTTGCCATCTGGTTTTTCAGGATGAGGAGAACGAGTCCAGCGAGAAGCGATCCGCCAAAGATGCGCTGCTTTTGTGGTGCCAGCGCAAGACGCATGGCTATCCGGGCGTCAACATCACGGACTTCACCAACTCCTGGCGCTCCGGGCTGGGATTCAACGCGCTCATCCACTCGCACCGCCCCGACCTGTTCGAGTACAGCACCATTGTCAATTCGAAGAACTCCAACCTGGACAATCTGAACCATGCCTTCGACACGGCCGCCAACGAATTGGGCATTCCCAGGTGAGAACTAAGCTTGATTACATTTTAAACTTACTTAAAGAGTACTTTATACTCTGTAGTTCTTTATAAAATATCACCTAATCGTAGCTTAAATGGGTTGTGATATTAAGACAATATTTTTTGCAGCACTAGGGTTTGTTTCTCTTTAGTGTTTCCTAATGATGAAATGGCAATGGAATAATACTTATTATATATCAATCATATTAATTAAAAATTCCCAATTTCAGCCTGCTCGATGCGGAGGACATTGACTCCGCCCGACCGGACGAGAAGTCGATCTTGACCTACGTGGCCTCCTACTATCACACCTTTGCACGCATGAAGAACGAGCAGAAGAGCGGCAAGCGCATCGCGAATGTAAGTAGAAGACCTGGGTTCAGGTTCAGGTTTAGATTCCGATTCAGATTCAGATTGGGGTCGGATTCAGAGGCGGATGCCATTGGCAGAGTCCCATCGCCTCTGGGAATCGCTGCAGCGTAACGGTGTCCCACAGTTAACGCTCTACTTCACACTGGATTGGCTCCCGATCGGAATCGCAATCGCAATCGGAATAGCAATCGGATTCGAATTCGTTTTCGTATTCGGATTCGGGTGGGGTCCCCAGACCTAAGCCTAGAAAGTTGCTCAACCAGCTCCCTCACCCTCTCCTCTCTCCTCTTTTTTTCCCCGCAGATCGTCGGCCAGCTGATGGACGCCGATCGCAAGAAGATCCAGTACGAGGGCCTGACCACAAACCTGCTGAGCTGGATCCGCCAGAAGACGCTCGAGCTGGAGCAGCGCGACCTGCCCAACTCGCTGGAGGGCATCCAGCGGGAACTGCTGGCCTTCAAGGAGTACCGCACCATTGAGAAGCCGCCCAAGTGAGTGTACTCCATCTATGGGATCTGATAGCGATACTAATGGCACCCCAATGATATCAAACAGATACAAGGAGCGCAGCGAGATCGAGGCGCTGTACTTCACCATCAACACGCTGCTGAAGGCGCTCAACCAGCCGCCGTACAATCCGCAGGACGGGCAGCTGGTGAACGACATCGAGAAGGCCTGGCAGATCCTCGAGTACGCCGAGCACCACCGCGAGGTGGCCCTGCGGGAGGAGCTGCTGCGCCAGGAGAAGCTCGAGCAGCTCAACTACAAGTTCGAGAAGAAGTCGGTGCTGCGCGAGGGCTACCTGAAGGAGATGATCCAGGTGCTCTCCGACCCGCGCTACCTGCGCCAGGTGGACGCCACGCTGAAGAAGCACGAGGCCATTTCGGCGGACATTTTAGCTCGCGTGGAGCGCTTCAACGACCTGACCGCCATGGCCGAGGAGCTCGACCGCGAGAACTACCACGGCAAGGAGCGCGTGCGCCGTCGCGAGCAGGAGGTGATGGCCAAGTGGCGCCAGCTGCTGGAGCTGCTCGAGAACCAGCGCCTGAACCTCTCCCAAATGAGCAACCTGATGAACCTGCTGCGCGAGATCGCCGGCACCACGGAGGCGGTGCGGGAGCTGCAGCAGCAGTTCGCCTCCGAGGACGTCGGCCCCCATCTGCTCGGCGTGGAGGAGCTGCTGCAGGCGCACTCGCTCCAGGAGCTGCAGGTGAACACCTATGGCGAGACCCTGAAGCGCTTCAACCGCCAGGCGCTGCCCTACAAGAGCTCCGAGCACAAGGACGCTGCCCTGCTGGCCCAGCGGCTGGCCGACCTGGAGGAGGCCTACTCGGAGCTCCTCCGCCGCTCGGCGGCGAGGCGGGCTCGTTTAGAGGAGGCTCGCAACTTCCACCACTTCATGGAGGACTACGACAACGAGGAGTCCTGGCTGGTGGACAAGCAGCGCATTTGCAAGACGGGCATCACGGCCAAGGACCTCCGAGCGGTGCTCTCGCTGCAGCAGAAGCACAAGGCGCTCGAGGACGAGATCAAGTCGCGCAAGCCCAAGTCCGGCCAGATGTCCAGTGCGGGCAAGCGGCTCATCGGAGAGGAGCACCCGCGCTCCGGCGAGATCCAGAGCCGGATCGACTCGCTGGCGGAGCACTGGCAGGCGCTGGAGGCGCTGGTGGAGCTGCGCCGGCGGCAGCTGGAGGACGCCGCCGAGGCGTACCAGTTCTACACGGACGCTAACGAGGCGGAGTCCTGGCTAAACGAGAAGATGGCGCTGGTGAACTCGCGCGACTATGGCAGCGACGAGCCCTCCGCCCAGGCGCTGCTCCAGCGGCACCGGGACCTGCAGGGCGAGCTGAACGCCTACTCCGGCGACATCCTCAACCTGAACCAGCAGGCGGACAAGCTGATCAAGGCGGGCATCTGCACGCTGGAGCTCTCCGCCGCGGAGCCGGAGCTCCCGGAGGCGGAGCAGGAGGAGTGGGTCAACGAGACGCGCCTGGTGCCCAAGGAGGTGTGGGAGGACGAGTGGGTGGAGAAGCTGGAGCACAAGAAGGTCACCGAGACGAAGCTGCTGCCCCACGTCAAGTCGCTCTTCCCCTTCGAGGGCCAGGGCATGAAGATGGACAAGGGCGAGGTGATGCTGCTCAAGTCCAAGACCAACGACGACTGGTGGTGCGTGCGCAAGGACAACGGTGTCGAGGGATTCGTCCCCGCCAACTATGTGCGCGAAGTGGAGCCCCGCCCGGTGGCCTGCATCGTGCCGAAGGCCGAGAAGGTCAAGTCGCTGCAGAAGGTCAAGAAGACGATCCTGGTGCGCCAGGTGGTGCCGGTGAAGCGCATCAAGCCGGTCAGCGTGGCGCCGAAGCCTCTCGTCCAGCGGCGGACCTCCACGCAGAGCATCAACGAGAACGCGGACAGCGTGGAGCGGCGCCAGCAGCGGATCAACCAGACGTACGACGAGCTGCAGGAGATGGCCCAGAAGCGGCACGCCCTGCTGGAGGACTCGATCCACCTGTTCGGCTTCTACCGCGAGTGCGACGACTTCGAGAAGTGGATGAAGGAGAAGGAGCGTATGATCCGCGCAGATGGCGATGGAGGCGACAGGGGAGACGGAGGAGAGGGCGTGGATAATGCGAAGCGCAAGTTCGAGAAGTTCATCACGGACCTCTCGGCCGCCTCGAAGCGCGTCGAGGAGATCGACGGCGCCGTGGACACCTTCCGCCGACAGGGCCACTCGCAGCTGGACAAGATCATCGCGCGCCAGCGCCAGATCCACCAGATCTGGCAGCGACTGAACAACGCGAAGGCGCAGCGCGAGAAGAGCCTGGAGGGCGCCTCCAGCGTGGAGCTCTTCAACCGCACCTGCGACGAGGCGAAGGTCTGGATGAGCGAGAAGATGCTGCAGCTGGACACGGCGGTGATCACCCCCGATCTCCGCACGGTGCAGGCCCTGCAGCGGCGCCACCAGAACCTCGAGCGGGAGCTGGCCCCGGTGGAGGACAAGGTGAACCGGGTGACCTACCTGGGCAACTCGGTGAAGAACGCCTACCCGGCGGAGAAGGAGAACGTGAACGGGCGCCAGCAGGAGGTGCAGGACATGTGGCAGCAGGTGCAGCAGCGCGGCAGCGACCTGCGCAACCGCATCGAGAGCGAGGTGGGCCAGCAGATCTTCAACAACAGCGCCAAGGTGCTCCTCGCCTGGATCGACTCCGTCAAGGACCAGCTGAACGCCGATGAGTCCGCCCGCGACGTCGAGACGGCCAACAACCTGCTGAAGAAGCACAACGACCTGGGCGACGACATCCGCGCCCACGACACCGAGTTCCTCGAGGTCATCCAGCTGGGCAAGCAGCTCTCCGACGGCAAGCAGCACATGGCCGACACGGCGGCGGTGGTCGAGCGGCTCCGCGCCGAGCAGGACGCCATCCACCGCGGCTGGGCCGAGAAGCAGAAGTGGCTGCTGCAGTGCGTCGAGCTGCAGATGTTCAACCGCGAGGCGGACAAGATCGACGCCACCACCAAGAGCCACGAGGCCTTCCTGGAGTACAACAACCTGGGGGTAAGTTATTTGAGTAATCTATTAATAAATGGTTCCTAATTGGTATTACCTCCTATGAACAGTCCTCTCTGGACGAAGTGGAGGCCATCCTGAAGCGCCACCTGGACTTCGAGAAGAGCCTGATGGCCCAGGACAAGATCCTCAAGGGATTCTCGGACAACGCGGACAAGCTGATTGCCAACGATCACTACGATTCAAAATAGTAAGTGTTTGTAATCTGTAAAGTTTGTTATTAATTAATTAATTAATTAATTAATATATTATATTCATATTATATTAATTAATTAATATTAATTTAATACGCCTCCTTAATGGTATTGATATTAAACGAATCATTTACTTGCAGCATCGGAGATCGACGCAATCAGGTGCTGGGCAAGCGCAAGGCCGTCAAGGATCGCGCCTTTGAAAGGAAGCGCCTCCTGCAGGCCTCGAAGGACTTCCACAAGTTCGCCGCCGAGGCGGATGACCTCAAGGTGTGGCTGCAGGACAAGACGAGGATCGCTGGCGACGAGAGCTACCGCGACCTGAGCAACCTGCCCCGCAAGCTGCAGAAGCACCAGGCCTTCGAGCGCGAGCTGCGCGCCAACGAGGGCCAGCTGCGGAACGTGACCAAGGACGGGCAGGCGCTGGTCCAGGCCGGCAACCGGGTGCCCGAGGTGGAGTCCCGCGTGGCGGACCTGAACAAGCGCTGGAAGGAGCTGCTCGCCCTCTCCGAGGACAAGGGCCGCAAGCTGGAGCAGGCCGCCTCCCAGCGGGAGCACAACCGCGCCCTCGAGGACGCCAAGAAGAAGGTGGACGAGCTGGACTCTGCTCTGAGGAGCGGCGACGTGGGCAACGACCTGCGCAGCTGCAAGGACCTGATCAACAAGCAGCAGCTGCTCGAGTCGGAGATCACCATCTGGGACCAGAAGGTGGCCGAGCTGGTCTCCACGGGCGACGACATGGCCCACGAGGGCCACTTCAATGCGCAGAACATCGAGGCGGGCACCAAGGAGCTGCAGCAGCGCTTCAAGGACCTGCGCGATCCCACGCAGCGTAGGAGGGAGAAGCTAGAGAAGGTACATCAGCAGTATTATGCGTAACAGGGATATGAGATTACATTCAGGTTCTATTGAACCTCTTTACCATTGCTATTAATCTTTGAATGAATTAGGACTCCATATTAATCTGAATTACTTTGCAGAGCCTCAACTACCACAAGTTCGTGTTCGAGCTGGACGCGGAGTTCCAGTGGATCAGAGACCACCTGCCGGCGGCCAAGTCCAACGAGCTGGGCCAGAACCTGCACCAGGCGCAGTCGCTGCACAAGAAGCACAAGAAGCTGGAGGCGGAGGTGAAGGGCCACCAGCCGGTGATCAACAAGGCGCTGCTCTCGGGCCAGTCTTTGATCGCCGAGCAGCATCCGGAGCGGGAGCAGGTGGAGCAGCTGTGCCAGCAGCTGGAGCAGGCCTGGCAAGACCTGGAGCGGCACTGCGGCGAGCGCTCCCGCAAGCTGGAGATGAGCCTGAAGGCCCAGCAGTATCTGTTCGACGCCGGCGAGATCGAGTCCTGGCTGGGTGAGCGGAACAACGCCCTGCGCTCCACGGAGTACGGACGCGACCGCGACTCCGCGGCCAAGCTGCTCACCAAGCACAAGACCATCGAGCTGGAGCTGGACACCTACTCGGGCATCGTGACCGAGATGGGCCACAGCTGCGCCGCCATGGTGGCCGCGCAGCACCCGGACAGCAAGGTGCTGGCCGCCAAGCAGCAGCTGATCGAGAAGATGCTCAAGTCGCTGCACAAGCTCTCCTCCCAGCGGCAGGGCCGGCTCATGGAGAGCCTCTACAAGCACGAGTACTTCCTCGAGTCCGACGAGGTCGAGCAGTGGATCCGCGAGCAGGAGCAGGCCGCCTCCTCGGAGGACTACGGCCAGGACTTCGAGCACCTGCAGCTGCTCCAGAACAAGTTCGACGACCTCAAGCACCGCGTCGAGGTGGGCGCCGATCGGGTCGACCAGTGCGAGCTGCTCGCCAAGAAGCTCATCGACTCCGAGAGCCCCTACGCCAACGAGGTGGAGAAGCGCCAGGAGCAACTCAGGTGAGCGGAGGGAGCTAAAAGGGCCGGTGTTTTAGATACTTGGGTGGTTAACCTAAAGATTCTTATCACCTAAGAACAATTGCAATTTTTTGTTCGGTAGAAAGTTAAACTTATTATTTTTTTTGGCCCAAATGTTGATTCTTTTGGTGGGTTTTTGGCTGTATCTTGGCCAATATGTCACCTACAGCTGAAATTCGAACTGTTTTAGGAAACTGATAGCCCCTTTAACAATTCCTATCATTTTCCGGCGGATTCAGGAAAAATTAATTTTTCGCCAAATTTCGACTTTTTGGTAAGGGGTAACATCATCATTTTTTGCGAAAATTGGGCAAAAATAAAATTTTTTAGGTAAAAATACCACTATATAGGAAATTTTACTGCGATTCCAACGGTGTATGCCATTCCATGTTCTGAGCACTATTTCTCCAGAAAAAGTTATAAAACCATATTTTTTGATTGGTTTGTTTAGTGAAATATGGTAATAAAACTTGTAATTTCTCTCTCTCAGAACTTCGTGGGAGAACCTGCTGCAGCTGCTGAACCAGCGCGAGCAGAAGCTGCACGCGGCGGGCGAGATCCACCGCTTCCACCGGGACGTGGCGGAGGCGCTGTTCCGCATCCAGGACAAGAACGCCGCCCTCTCCCAGGAGCTGGGCAAGGACCTGAACTCCGCTCTGGCGCTGCTGCGCAAGCACGAGGGCTTCGAGAACGACCTGGTGGCCCTGGAGGCACAGCTCCAAGTCTTGGTGGAGGACTCCGTGCGGCTGCAGGCCAAGTATCCCTCCAATGCAGCGGCGATCGCCCAGCAGCAGGACAAGGTGGTGGCCGCCTGGAACGACCTGAAGGAGCGCTCCACCGCCCGCGGAGATCGGCTGGCCGCCAGCTCGGACCTGCAGACCTTCCTCACCGACGTGCGGGACATCGTTTCGTGGTCCGCGAACCTGCGCGCTGCCCTCCAGGCGGAGGAGCACGTGAGCGATGCGGCAGGAGCCACGGCTCTCAAGATCCAGCACGACGCCATCTACGGGGAGATCGAGGCGCGGGAGGACAAGTTCCGCTACCTGAACGAGCTGAGCGACTCGATGGTGCAGACCGGACACTACGCCGCCGCCGACGTGGAGGAGAAGTGCGCGGCGATGCTGGACGAAAGGCAGAAGCTGCACGCCGCCTGGAACAAGAAGAAGATCATGCTGGAGCAGAAGATCGACCTGTTCTGCTTCCTGCGCGACGCGAAGCAGATCGACAACCTGTCCAGCTCGCAGCAGGCGGCGCTGAGCAGCTCCGACTTCGGGCAGACGGTGGAGGACGTGCAGAACCAGATCCGCAAGCACGACGAGTTCGAGCGGCTCATCCAGACGCAGGAGGAGAAGGTGGCCCTGCTGCAGGAGCACGGCCGCAAGCTGATCGAGCAGCGCCACTACGACAGCGCCAACATCCAGACGATCCTCCAGGGCGTCCTCGCCCGCCGCCAGAAGGTGAAGGACCTCTGCGCCGTGCGCCGCTACAAGCTTGAGGATGCCCTCCTGTACGCCAAGTTCGTTCGCGACTGCGCCGAGGCGGAGTCCTGGATCAGCGAGAAGCAGAAGAAGCTGGAGGCGGACGCGTCGAGCTTCGCGGAGGTGGCCAACCTGGACGAGAAGATCAAGAAGCTGCAGAAGCACCAGGCCTTCCAGGCCGAGGTGGCCGCCAACCAGGGCCGCATCCAGGAGATCCAGGACACGGGCGTCATCCTGCTGAGCAAGCAGCACGAGTCCTCGCCGGAGATCAAGCAGGCCATCGAGCGGGTCCTGCAGGCCTGGCAGGGACTGCTAGCCGAGCTGGAGCAGCGCGGCCGGGGGCTGGAGGAGGCCCAGGACAGCCTGGAGTTCAACAGCCAGCTGGACAAGATCGAGGCCTGGATCCGCGACAAGGAGATGATGGTGCAGGCCGGCGACACGGGCCGCGACCTCGAGCACTGCAACGCACTCATGCGCAAGCTGGACGATGTGGACTCGGACATGCGGGTGGACGACCAGCGGGTGCGGCACATCAACCAGCTGGCCGACAAGCTCATCAACCAGGCGCAGGTCCCTGCGGACACGCAGAGCGTGGACAAGCGCCGCAAGGACTTCAACTACAACTGGCGCCAGCTCCAAGGAGCTCTCAATGCCTATCGAGCTCTCCTCGGCGGCGCCAATGAGATCCACGTGTTCAACCGCGACGTGGACGACACGGCGGAGCGGATCGCGGAGAAGGCGCTGGCCATGAGCTCCACCGACACCGGACGGGACCTGGCCGCCGTGGAGGCGCTCATCCGGCGGGAGGAGGCCCTCGAGCGCGACATGTCCGCGGTGAAGCTGAAGATCGACCAGCACGAGACCGCCGCCGAGTTCCTGATCAAGAAGTATCCGGAGCGCGGGGCGCAGCACATCGAGCGCAAGCTGGAGGAGCTGCACAAGTCGTGGGGCAACCTGCAGGCGCTCTCCGTCCGCCGGCAGAGCCTCCTCAAGGAGGCCTTCCTGGCGCACAAGTTCGTGTCGGACGTGAAGGAGCTGGAGCTGTGGGTCAACGACATGGTGAAGAAGATGCGCAGCGCCCAGGCCCCATCCACCATCAACGACTGCGAGACGCAGCTGGAGCTGCACCAGGAGCGCAAGGTGGAGATCGAGGGTCGCGAGGAGGCCTTCGCCGGGCTGAAGCAGCAGGGCGAGCAGCTGACCAAGCAGCAGCAACAGGAGAACCAGGTGCGCCGACATTTGGTAGTGCTGGAGGAGCTCCACCAGACGCTGAACGAGGCGTGGAGCGAGCGTGCCCGCGACCTCACCGAGGCCCACCAGCTGCAGCTGTTCAAGGCGCAGGTGGAGCAGGTGGAGCTCTGGCTGGCCAACAAGGAGGCCTTCCTCAACAACGACGACCTCGGCGACTCGTACACCGCCGTGGAGCGGCTGCTGAAGAAGCACGACGAGTTCGAGAAGCTCCTGCACGCCGACCACGTGGACACGCTGCAGAAGTTCGCCGGCAGCATCCTGGAGGGCGAGCCCAAGGACGCGGACCTCATCCGCGAGAAGCTGGCCTACGTTCTGCGGAGGAAGCAGAAGCTGCTGGAGCTCTCCGAGGAGCGCAAGCAGCGGCTCACCCAGTCACTCCAGCTGCAGGAGTTCCTGCGCAGCCTCTACGAGATCGACCGCTGGCTCGTCCAGAAACTACAGGTGGCCCTCGATGAGAACTACCGCGAGCCGAGCAATCTGCAGAGCAAGATCCAGAAGCACGCCGCCTTCGACGCCGAGCTGCTGAGCAACTCGCCGCGCGTCCAGTCAGTAATCCACGAGGGCGAGCGGCTCATCCGCGGCGAGCACTTCGCCCGGGACGAGATCGCCCAGCAGGTGCAGCTGCTCGAGGGCGACTGGCTGAAGCTGAAGGCCGCCTCGCAGAACAAGCAGGAGAAGCTGCGGCAGGCGCACGAGGCGCTCGCCTTCAACCGGAGCCTCGACGAGTTCGACGGCTGGATGGACGAGGTGGAGCTGCAGCTGAGCAGCGAGGACTACGGCAAGGACCTCGCCGCGGTGAGCAACCTGCTGAAGAAGCACGAGCGCCTGGAGGCGGACGTGGCCCACCACGGCGAGCTGGCCGAGCAGCTGAAGCAGAAGGACGAGCTCTTCTTCCAGGCGGAGCACTTCCTGCGCCACGAGATCCACGAGCGGGCCACCGCCAGCATCCGGCGCTACAACACGCTCCACGAGCCACTCGGAATCCGGCGGGAGAACCTCGAGGATTCGCTCAGCCTGCAGCAGTTCCTGCGCGACGCCGAGGACGAGCTACAGTGGCTGGCCGAGAAGCAGCTGGTGGCGGGATCCCAGGACCTCGGAACGAGCCTGCTCTCCGTGCAGGGCCTGCAGAAGAAGCACAACTCGCTGGAGGCGGAGCTCACCTCGCAGGAGCCGCTCATCCAGGCGCTGCTGCAGCGCGGCCAGCAGATGATCCGCGACAACCACTTTGCCAGCGAGCAGCTGCAGTACAAGTCGGAGCTGCTCCAGAAGCAGCTCGTCCAGCTGCGCGACCTGGCGGCCATCCGACGCCTCCGCCTGCTGGACGCCGTGGAGAGCCAGCTCTTCTACGTGGAGGCCAACGAGGCGGACGCGTGGATGCGCGAGAAGCGCCCGGTGCTGGCCAGCAGCGACTACGGACGCGACGAGGCCTCCGTGCAGGGCCACCAGAAGAAGCTGGAGGTGCTGCAGCGCGAGCTGGCCGCCTTCAAGCCCTCCATCGAGAAGGTGGCCAAGCTGGCCACTGGTCTCATCGAGCGCAACCACTTCGACAGCGCCAACATCCAGGAGAAGAACGGCCAGGTAGGCAGCCAGTACGAGGACCTGCTCCGGCTGGCCAAGGAGCGCGAGCTGCGGCTCGGCGAGTGCAAGAAGCTGTTCGAGTATCTGCGCGAGACCGAGGAGCTGCACGAGTGGGTGGGCGACCAGATGGCGGTCACCGCCAGCGAGGACTACGGCGAGGACGTGGAGCACGTGGAGCAGCTCATCCTGGCCTTCGAGTCGTTCGTGTCCAACCTGAACGCCAACGAGGCGCGCGTGGAGGCCATCCTGGAGCGCGGCGATAGGCTGATCCAGGAGAACAATCCGTATCGCAGCTCCATCAAGGCGAAGCGCGACGAGACCAAGCAGCTGTGGGAGGAGCTGCGCGACCTGGTCCACGCCCGCCAGGATGCCCTAGCAGGAGCCAAGCAAGTGCACGTGTACGACCGCGTGGCGGACGAGACCATCCAGCTGATCGGGGAGAAGGACGCCTCGCTGATCTCCGAGGACTACGGCCAGGATCTGGAGAGCATCCAGGCGCTGGGCCGCAAGCACCAGGTGTTCGAGTCCGAGCTGGTGGCCATCCAGGCCCAGGTGGACTCCGTGCTGGCCGAGGCGGTCAAGCTGGGCGAGATCTACCCGGACGCCCGCGAGCACATCGAGGTGAAGCGCGACGAGACGGTGGAGGCGTGGTCGGAGCTCCGCGAGAAGACCGCCGCCCGGAAGAACAAGCTCAGCCAGGCGGAGCAGCTGCAGTCGTATTTCGACGAGTACCGCGACCTCATCGCCTGGATCAACGAGATGCTGGCCAAGATCACCGCGCCCGAGCTGGCCACCAGTGTGGCCGGGGCGGAGCTGCTGCTGGCCAGCACCAAGGACCACGACACCGAGATCCGCGCCCGCGACGAGACGTTCGCCAAGTTCGCCGCCAACGGGCAGCAGCTCATCCGCGAGAAGCACTTCCTCGCCCACGAGGTGGAGGACAAGATCAAGGTGCTGCAGGCGCGCCACGAGCTGCTCAAGCAGACGCTGCGCAAGCGCCGCGAGATCTACGAGCTCAACCTGGACACGCAGCTCTTCCTCAAGGACGCCGAGATCCTGGAGCAGTGGATAAGCAGCCGCGAGCCGCAGCTGAAGGACGCCAAGCTGGGCGACTCCATTCCCCAGGTGGAGGACCTGCTGCGCCGCCACGAGGACTTTGAGAAGACGGTGGCCGCGCAGGAGGAGAAGTTCCAGGCCATCAAGCGGATCACGCTGCTGGAGCAGCTCTTCCGCCACCAGCTGGAGCAAGAGAAGATCAGCAAGCAGCAGGAGAAGGAGCGACTCGAGAAGGAGCGCCTGGAGCAGCTCAAGCAGCGCGAGCTCCAGCGGCTGGCGGACGAGCGCCGGCGGGCAGAGAAGCAGCACGAGCACCGCCAGAACGCCGCCTCCCAGGAGAAGACGCCCATCTTCTCCGCGCCCATGGTGACGCCCGCCCAGACGGCGAGTGGCGGCCAGTCGCCGGCGGCCCAGCTGCGTCCTCCGTTCGGCGAGGCGGCCGATAGCGATCACCTGGCCCTGCAGAAGAGCAGCTCCAGCGGCATGTTCGGCGACCGCCTGCGCCGCGGATCCGCCGACGCGAACGTGAAGCGCGCGGAGAGCATGAAGGTGCAGCCGAAGCAGGCCAAGCGCACGCCCTCCTTCACGACGAGGCGGCGGGCGCAATCGTTCCGCAAGAACCAGAAGGGCGAGGGCTTCGACCTGCCGCCCGTCGAGATCCAGGGCAGCCTGGAGCGCAAGCACGGCCTGCAGTCCGGCGGCAAGAAGGCGCCGGTCCGCTCCTGGAAGCAGTTCCACACGGTGCTCTGCGGCCAGCTGGTGTGCTTCTTCAAGGACGAGAACGACTTCCTGCAGCAGAAGACGGCCACCGCCCCGGTGAACATCCTGGGCGCCAAGTGCGAGCGGGCGGAGGACTACACCAAGAAGAAGTACGTCTTCCGGCTGAAGCTGCCCGACGGCTCCGAGTTCCTCTTCGAGGCGCCCTCGCTGGACATCCTCAACGACTGGGTGCGCAAGATCTCCTTCCACGCCAGCCTGCCGCCAAACATGCAGCTGCTCAGCTACGACGAGTCCATGAAGGTAGCAATCCTCATCCTTTCGAAAGATCCATACTAATTCTTAGCGTTTTTCCCACAGCAACAGTCGAGCAGTTCGCCGGACATCAAGGTAACCAGCAGTGTGGAGTCGCCTGTGAGCTCCCGCAACTCCTCGCCCGACTCCCAGCGAAGGACCAGTGGTGGTCAGGTGCTGGACGGCACTGCCACCCCCCAAATGGCCTTCCTGCAGCGACAGATGCAGCAGCAGCAGCAACAGCAACAGCAGCAGCAATCCCAGCCCAGTTCACCCAGCTCGTCCACCGCCGGATTCGACCAGAGGCCACCGATCCCGCCCAGAGGAGCACCACCGGTGGCCAGCCAGCGCCAGAGCCAGGAGAACCTGGTAGTGCTGCGCAACCGCCAGAGTTCCAACAACGGTAGGGAGTGCTTCCATTAGCTCTTTCGATTAACTAAAATATATATTATGTAGACCTGCAACAATCCGCCACTTTGCCCGCCGGCTTGACTGGCGTCCAGCAGCAGAATGGGAGCAGCAGGGACGACAGCACAGTGCTGACGCGCAACAGCGAGGCCAGACAATCGGGTAAGTGCTCCAACCAGGGAACCAATGGGGATCCCCAGTCCCAGCCACCAGTGTCTCTGTCCACACACCCCGACCTCCACATTACTCCACTCACATTGTACAAATTGTCCTCCAACAACGCGATGTCGTGTGGTGTAGATAATCCGCCGCCATTGCCAACGACGATGCCACCAGTGGGTGGTCACCATCAGCATCAGCATTCCCATTCCCATCAGAGTCAGAATCAGAGTCAGAGCCACCAGGCGCAGGTCCAGCAGAGGATCAACGCCTTCAACGCGGCGGCGAGTCAGCAGAACCAGCCGGATTACTACAACAACAACCTGGCGAGGCAGCAGCATCAGCAGCAGCAGAGGGTTCCCTCCGGCAGGATCGACTCCACGCGGAAGTTCATCGAGATGGAGGCGCAGAACAACAACGGAGGCACCACCGGAGGCAGTCCCAAGCGGAGCACCATCAACTACTCGAGCAGCGGGGCCAGCAGCAATGGCAACGGTAATGCGAAGATCGCGGGTGGAGGCCACCAGTCGTCCACGACGACGATCACCACCTCGACCTCGACCACCACCACCACCCACCAAGTGACCTCGAGCAGTCGCACGGTGTGGCACCTAACCTCATCGCCCACCTCATCGACCAAGTCATCATCCACTGGCGGCTCCGCGGAGCCCAGCCACGCCATCAGTAATCCAAGCTACATGGGTCTGCATCTGAATAACAATAACGAATCAATCGGAATCGGACTCGGTGGTTAGAAGAACCTCATTGATCCTAACAAGCTCTCCACTATATAACTACTTGACTCCTAGTCCTAAGTCTAAGTGCATGCCTTTCGGTTGTGGTTGACCTGTACAAACTTATTCCTTTCTCTTTGTTTCCAATGCCTGCATGTTGGTGGATAAGGTGCCTCGACCTTCAAGCCGGTGAAGCTAACCCGCCGATCCTATCTGCGCACCAGTTTGCAAAGTACTTCCATGGGTTTTACACTTGAGTCCTTTTAGTGGTTTTTAGTTACCTTTCTATATTGTAATAGTATATGATAAGCTATGTATTATATTCTACTGCCTGCTCACCCTCCGAATCCCACTCTATGTTATGCTCCACTCGAAACACTCCTCATGTGCATGATCTCTCTATGTAAAACGCCTTCGCACCACTAATCCCAACTCTATATCCCACCAGGTTGGGGCAACACCCGCTTCGAGAGCAACCGACCCGTCTCCCTGCAGCCCGACTCCATCAGCTTCTCGCGCGTTTCGGCAGAGAGCTCCAGCGAAAGCGAGGCCCAGTCCATATCCTCCGTGTCCGGGGTGAAGGGCAGCAAGGGCTCCAAGGAGGAGCGGCGCAGCGGCATGTTCCGCATCTTCGGACGCAAGGGCGACAAGGAGAAGGAGAAGGACAAGGACAAGCGCCGGTCGAGTCAAGTCCCGCCGCAGTAAGGACCCAGCCAGGACGAATTGTTTTTGTATTTTTTATATACACCATAATTATTTAATTTGTATCCGCCGAGGGCAAACCGATTCAAAAACAAACAGAAAACGAAAAATTGAAAATTAAACGTGTCTACTTAAAGCTAAAGCGATGAAAAGTATAAATGAAATATTATATATATATAAAGTCAATGTTTTAATTGCATTATAAAATGTATCTGTAAGTTTGTTCGTTGTATGATTAAATTTAATTTCTTAAAAAAAATACCTTAAACAATAAATACTTTACACTATATAAACATATTGCGAAGTGTCACAAATTTTCTGGTTGGGATCGTTCGGCCGATCGCAACATTTTCTGCCAAACTTCACTTTGAAGTACCAGGCGAACAGAATGCCATAGTAGGTGGATACTCTTTTTATTAAAATTTTCCAATTGATCCTAAAAGAATGCCATAGTATATGGCAATATTTTTTAAAAGATTTGTCCAATAGATCCCGAAAGTATGCCACACATTTTTATGGAAAATTACCATTAACAAAAACTCCAAAAAACTGTTACTTTAATAAATTTAAAAGTTGAAGGTGTACCAAATTTTCTTGTTGGAATATTTTAAATAGAATGCAATAGTCGGGTTACTTTTGGGTATGCAATATTGTTCGACAGCCAAATTCAAAATTGAAATATTTCGGGATTGCGACAGAAGCAATAGTTTTTAAAGGTAAGATGGTTTCTCAGAATAATTTCATCGCGGCGGCGGCAAATAAGAATCCTACGATAAGCAGGGGTTATAATTATATAGGTTCATAATAATAGGTTAACAATCCTCTCTCTGCCTTAAATATTGTTCTTGCAATGGGGCTTTAAATGCGTCGCGTTAAAAGTAAATAACCAGAAGTAGCAGATTAAGCCATGGCGGATGTTTATGTTTTCCTGACCAACGTCAACAATAGTCCGTTTGACCTAGCCATCCCCTATATTTCGTCCGAGATGTGCCGATACCCCTTAATATTTTGTTGACTGTGGTTTTATTTTTTTTTTACTTATATAATTCCTGGCAGTATTGGAATTGTTTATTAATTGACAATTCAGCTAATCAGTTAATGAGTTCTCTAATCTAGTGTGTTTACGTTGGATTTTCCCTGTTGATTGACCAAAGCTACGTTTTTAATTTATGGGTTCCTATCTGCTTCTTGTTCCTTTTTTTTATTCAGGGGTTGCGCTATCAACCATTTGAATGTTAATTACTTTGTAAACAAACCTCTGCTCAGCACTCTTAATACTAGATAGTAAAATTTTGAGGTACAAATTAAAGTATAATTAATCTAAAGTTATCTAGTCACGTTTTTCCAAGGGATAAAGATTGCTTTTTATCTCTGAAGGGCTTATTATTTTTGGAAGGAAAGCTTATCTGTATAAAGTATATATATTTCTAAAGGTATCTCGTAACGTTTTTCCAAGGGGTTAAAATTGATTTTTATCTCTGAAGGGCTTATTATTTTTGGAAGGAAAATTCATCTGTGGAGAACTCGTTTTGATTTCACGGGGATCTTTTTTCAAGATTTATTAAATTAGTCTGCGGTTGTGACTCTTTGTCATCTTGTTGTTATGTTTTCTTTATCGCTATAGTTCTTGGGTTAACCCCAACCCTATTGACTGACTGGAGCAAACAAGTAATGTGCGGTAAACTCTATTAAATAAATATTATTAATAAATATAGACAGCAGTGAAGAAAAGCAAATATTTTTAAAATGATCATGGTGTTTCAAGCAATAAATCCAATTTACAAATAATATAGAACGATAAAAACAAGTATTTCCCCCGAAGTACGTGAAGTGACTGCAATTGTATCATCAATTGTTGATCATCTCTCCCTATACCCGACTGAAAGCTCAACTGCGCTGCCGAGAGATCGGGCACTATATAAGCGCCTCCGCGAGGCCTTCCATATCATAAGTCGCTGATACTTCAACAAAAAATCACCAACCAAGCTCTCCCAAGAACTTTCCCAACATGATGCACATCAAGTACTTGTTCGCCTTCTTCGCTGTCCTGATGCTGGTTGTCCTGGGAGCCAACGAGGCCGACGCCGACTGTCTTTCCGGAAGGTACAAGGGTCCTTGTGCCGTCTGGGACAACGAAACCTGCCGTCGTGTCTGCAAGGAGGAAGGACGCTCTAGTGGCCACTGCAGCCCCAGCTTGAAGTGCTGGTGCGAAGGATGCTAAAGCATCAGAGCTCTCTAATATCAATTTAAAATCTCTAATATTGTTATTATTATGCCCACTATGAATATCTAATAAAAATTAATGTACATTAAATCCTTCACTTTTATTATTTTACGCCATTCCTATCAAAATGCTAAAAATCGAACCCATCGTAGCATTTGCAGTCTTCACAAAACACACTTCAGACAAGTTGCCAATTTGTTATTTTAAGTATTTGGCACAATAGTTAGACTGATAATTAATTTGAAACTATTTAGGGCATGGCGATTATTTAAATTGAAAACTGATGTGAAAACTAAATTATACCCGACTGAAAGCTCAACTGCTCGGCCGAGAGGTCGGGTACTATATAAGCTCCTCCGTGAAATATCACCACCCAATCTCTCCCAAGAACTTTCCCAACATGATGCACATCAAGTACTTGTTCGCCTTCTTCGCTGTCCTGATGCTGGTTGTCCTGGGAGCCAACGAGGCCGACGCCGACTGTCTTTCCAGAAGGTACAAGGGTCCTTGTAGGATCAACGACAGCGACAACTGTCGTCGAGTCTGCAAGGAGGAAGGACGAGCCGATGGCCACTGCAGCCCCAGCTTGAAGTGCTGGTGCGTAGGATGCTAAAGCATCAGAGCTCGCTAATATCAATTTAAAATCTGCATGTTATTATTTCTCCCACTATGATTATCTAATAAAAATTAATGTACAGTAAAGCCTTTACTTTTATTATTTTACGCCAATCCTACCAAAATTCTATTTCTTAAAATCGAGCCCATCTAAACCTTATCATTTGCAGTCTTCACAAAATGCGAAGTTGTAAATTAGTTATTTTAAATATTTTACACAATAGTTAGTCTGATAGGTAATTTGAAACTAATTAAGGTATGGCGAATTTTTAAATTGAAAACTTATCTCCCAGCACGTAGCACAAAAAGTACAGAATATTTATCTAAAATTGCTTAAAAAATATTTCCCGGACCTACAGTACACCTTTAAAAGTTGTCAAGGGCAAACTCTATTTTGCATTTATTTTACTTGCATTTTGCAGTTTGTTAAAGTACTGATTCGTTAATGAAAAAACTCATTACCTGTCGGAAATATCAACAAATCAAGTAAAAAAAAAAAACAAATCTTTTTAAAGGAAACTTATTTGAATACTCACAAATAAATAAACAGACAGCTGTCCAAACCCTTTTTTTAATAAATAAAACCCTTTTATATGACCATTCATAACGGCAGCCCAATAATAAGAGAGTTGTAGTAAATTTTGTAACCAGCTGGATTCTTTATTAGGCATCAGTCTTTCAGCATGTCTCTCTCCACTTTCTTTTCCGCAATGTGGTTAGTACTTTTCCATCCGGTGGGTCCAGATACTGCAAAGAAACAGAGCAAACTCCCTAGGTCCGTCCGGGAATGTGTTTGGGTGTTTGTCGGGCGGTCAATGCTCTCGTAAAGCGTGAAAATGTGGCAGTCATTGAGTGGATTCGATGGGGAATCGGTGACCATCCAGTGGGTCAAACAGTTCGGATTGCTACGGTTCGGATTTCTATGGGGCCAAAGGGACCCGGAGCGATTTCGTCTCCGGGCCAAAGTGTAGGCGGATGTGTGTCTGTTTCTGGAATACATACGGTCTTCTGTCGGCAAGACATGTAAGTGTTAAAAATGATTGCATTAGTTTTATACTACGTATAAGGAAGCTTGGATCGGATCGAAACGACTGGACCCTCGTCTTTGAAGTTAGGTAGCAGTGATTATAACTTATAGTCCCCACTCGGAGCTGGGCTCCGCTTAGGTCCTTGAAGGTCTTTGTGGGGCAGAGGTCCCCTTTTTGTTTTGGGGCTGCTTTTGCTGAGTCCAACTCTCGTTTTCGGAACTTTATGGGCTTGGGATGGTTTGATGAGAATGGGACTTGTGGGGTTTGGCACACACGATACACACATCACTGATTGATCACTGCTCTCATGTTAACTTAAGTTCGTTCATGGTGTTGTTGTTGGTTGTGGTTGTTGTTGTTGGGCGTCTCTTTAAAGTCTCTTTCTCTCGCTCTTTATATATTTTCGCTTTCGGGTAAATAAAGTTCACATTTTCTCTCTTTCATTTTGTATTTTTTTTTGTGGTTTAAAATATTTAATTAGCATTAAGATCTCTGTTGTTTTGAAATTTGCTTAAGTCGTAAGTTTGTTTAAATCATAGTGTGGGTGGTGGGGGTGTTTTGGTGAGCGGGACAGAGAGAAAGGGGAAAGAGAGTTGTATCGACTTTAGACGATAGCCGGCTTTCATAGGTCTACGGTTTGCGGTTTGGATTTATCGTATTAACTTTTTGCTTATACCGTAACGCATTCAGCATTTATCATTGCATTTCACACGCGATAGGATTAGGATTACACTTTCCGATTCTAGCGGGGCCAGCAGCACGATCTCGACCCTAGCGCCTGTTGTCCCGATAGCTTCGCTGGCCGCCGCCGCCACCACGCTCGCGAAACGGTCGCGAATCCCGCGAAGATCCGCCGCTGCGATTGCCATACTCCCGCCGACGAGCGCCCGCGGAGCCGTTGTTGCCGTCCCGATTCCGATAGCCGCCGGGTCCGCCCATGCCGCCACCGGATCCTCCGACTCCTCCGGCGCCCATGCTGCCGCCGCCCGATGACGCCTGCGCTCCAGCCGTCCCGCCAGCCCCATTGCTGCCGCCGTTGGCCGATCCCCCGTAGACGGGGAAGCCCGGCGGCGGCACTGTGGGCAGGCCGGCGTTTTTCCACGCGGCGAACTCTTCGTAGCTCGGCGCCTTGTCAAAGCCCGGTGGCGGTGGCCGCTGGGGAGGCGGGTAGTCCGGCAGGGGCGGTGCTCCCGGTCCGTCGTAGTACCGCACCGGTGGCGGCAGTTGCTCGTACATGGCGGCCGCTGCTCCCGGGGGCAGGGCCCCCGCAGCTCCCGCGCCAGCTCCTGGCATCGGCAGCTGGGCGAACGGAGGAACGAAGGGCAACGGCGGCAGTTGGCCGTGCATGTTGCGCATGTAGTCCGCGACATAGGCCTCGGCCGCTGCAGCCGAGGACATGTAGCGCTCCCACAGCGGCATGGCCATGTCGCCAGGTCCGCCGGGCGGAGCTCCTGCTCCACTGGCCATTTGACGGTAGGGTGAGCCGCTGCGCTTGAAGCCACCGCCTGGCGGAAGGCCCATGCCGTGGTGATGACGGTACGGGCGGTGGTGCGGCGGGCCGTGGTAGCTCCGTTTGTGGCGCATCGGACCCAGCTGGTCGTGGCCTGAACCCCTGCCGCCGCCACGACCGCCTCCTCCGCCGTGGCCACGCGATGAGAGACTCCTCGGCGGCTTGTAGATCACGTGGATGCCTTTCTCCCGCATCACGCGGGCCGTCTCCTTGGATTTCTTGAGTATTGGGGTCAGTTCGATCTGCTCGTCCTCCGGAAAGAGCCTGCACAGCTCGCCACCGATCTTGGGCTCGATCTCCTGGCCGTCGCGACCGATCTTGACCGGCTTGCCCTCGTTCCAGGTGTTGTGCAGGTGCAGGGTGGCGTTGAAGGAGAGCTCCTTGCGGCAGATCCAGTCCAGCTCAATAACGCCGCCCAGCGCCTTGGGCGAAATACTGGGCGGCAGGACCCAGGCCACCTGGGGAATGTCCCGCCGGGAGGGAGCCGCCATTCGGGCAAAGCCTGCAAATTTACCTGTAAGCAAAAGCAGATTACGGTGATGTGTGTTTGGAATTAGAATATAGTTATATGCGCTTTCCCAGATTGTAACCTACCGCTCTCGTTGACCGAGAAGATGAGCAGCACGTTCCTGGCCTCCTTAAAAGCCTGATTAAGATTGGCGTCGTTCTGCGGCAGGGTGGCCCAAACGCTCTTGTTCTTGGACAGCTGGACGTTGTCGCTGTTGTTGGACTTGATGAGGAAGAAGCGCGTGTCCCGAAACAGATAGTTCAGCTTTGTCATGTAGTCGTAGCCCTTCTGTGAATGTGACTGCGACCCTCCGCCGCCATTGGAATCCTTCTCCGGCGTTGAGCTCTTTGAACTGGGTTTACCCCTGCCATTGCCACCTCCGTTGCCCCCGTTTCGCTTGTGTTGGGTGCCTGAGTCCGAATCGGAGGACTCGCTGTCAGACTCTAGAGCCGGAAGAGCCGGCTTCTCGTCCTCTGCCTCGCTGACGTCGCTCTTGTGACCGCCGGAATCGTTCGCGTTGGAGGGTTTCTTGCTGCGCGGCTTCTTGGCGGGCGGCTGACGCTCCTCGGTTTGCGGGGATTTGTCCTTGACTTTCTCGGAGGACTCTGAAATGGACGTCTTCTTGGACTCACTGGCCGTGCGCTTCTTTTTCTTTCCCCCGTTAAGTTCCTCAGGAGTCAGCTCCCTCTTGGCCTTGTTTTTGGACGAGCCCTTGGAAGACTTCGCCTCAACCGTGGGCTGTGGGCTTTCCTTGGCCGCCTTCTTACTCTTCCGTTTGCCACTGCCCACCAGCGATGATGTGGCCGTGCTCACCGAGCTGATACTCGGCTCGGAGTCCGAGGAGTCCCCGGCGTTTGATTCAGAGGCCTCGCTTCTTGTGTTGAACTCAAAGTCTTGCAGCTCCTCGGCGATGTCCGCCTCGTTTTCGTCCAGTCCCAGGTGCACTGCGTCCAGGTCCGCCATCTCGCGCATCGGCAGCGTTTGTTTACCTACACGCAGTTCAAGGAAGTCCCAGAAATGAATGGAGCACCCACGCACACATACACAAGCCGAGAAAAATATAGAGAAAAACGCCGATCGATCGGCTAGGTGAGTAACGCTCTCTGAAATGCAGCTTAATCGAAACCCACTTGCTGCTCTCGGCGTAAATTGTGTGGACACTGGTTTAGCGCCACTTGTTATCCACTCTTTACCGCAATAAGCCAAGTTAAGAACGCGAAAAAACACAGACTTTACAAGGTTTTACACAAATTCTGCGTCACAGCGGCGACGAATTGGCGATGGCGTCAGAAGAGTGCGACTATATGTGTCGCGAGCGGCGACTATCGCGGTTACCATCGCGACTATCGATACGAGGATGCAGCTAAAAAGTAGCTAAATTTACATTTTTAAATAACTTATTGGCAATATTTGTTAGTTAGGACAAATACGGAAATTTAAAAATAATATTTGTTCTGATTAGCTTAATGTTTTCATCTCGATCGTAAGGAAGTAAAGTATACTTGTGAGTCCGTTAAAACAGTCACATGTTGTAATCGATAAGTTATCGTTTGAGTCGAACAGAGGTAAACAATATGCACCAAACGCAATTAGATTTTCCGGCATTTCCGCTTTCCCTGCTGGACGACTGCGATCTAGGCACACAAAAGTGTTATGTGCCCAAAGAGGAGGATATTCCGTCGACAGGATGGTGCCGATGCGTCCTCTCCGATGGAAGCTTCGCCGTTTGTTGGGCTACAACGCGTGCCGGCAGTGAAACTTGTTGCTTCCTTGATGGAATGGTCACCTCCACATCGAAATTTTCACCTTCTAATCAGCAGTTGGTGCTCTTAGAACCACTGGAAATGGTTTCCTGTCCAGAGAGGATTTCGTGTGTAGTCACAATTACTCAGGAGTTACTGCAACGGCCTCAGGTTTCTATGGAGGATCTGAAGGATGATGTTAGTGTTTTCCTGCGCCACCTGAAGCTCACCAAAGGATGCTGTGTGCAGCACAAACGCCTTACCCAGCTGGGCATTGCTTGTGTGGAGATCCTCGATGTGCCAGGCGTGGCAGTTAATGAATGTTTCGAAATAGATCGAGATACTGAGCTTCTCCTTAAGGACACACGATTGGCTTTACCCTATTCGTTAGTTTCCACGTCAACATACCTGCCCCACAGCTTCGAGCAGTCCATTGCGGACCTAGAGCATTTGCTGGTAACTTCAGAGAGCAGTTTCTCGCACAGATTTCCTACCACGGCATTGGTTGTGGGACCTGTGGGCAGCGGGAAAAGTCACCTCCTTGGAGAATTCTTGCGCCGTCATACTTGCAACTGCTTTTACATAACAGCAAGCCAGGTACTGCGATCCTATCCGGGTGAAACAGAAGAGGAGTTGAGAAGAATCTTCCAGGCTGCGGAAATTTTCAAGGAGCAGCTGCGACCTTTACGTAAGTTTTGCGGTTTTTATTAGTCGAAACCAAATGCTGATAATTTGTCCCTTTCCAGTGCCCATTGTTATACTCATCGAGGACTTGGAGCTGCTCTGCCCCTCGTCAAGTTCTGCAGATCCCAAGAACTCCAGCAATTCCCTGCGCATCTCAGCACAGCTCTACAAACTGATAGATGCACTGCCTCAGGGAATCATTTGTGTGGCCACTTCGGGATCTCCGGACTCTCTGCATGAACACGCGCGCAGACGCTTTGTGCGGGAAGTGTCCATCGAGATGCCCAGCGAGGAGCAGCGCAGGCAGCTCGTGAAGGAGCTTTGCCAAGCCCATGAGCTGGATGTCTCGGATACTCTGCTTGATCACATAGCAAGGAACACACAGGGATATGTAATGGCTGATCTCAATCTCCTCCTTCGCCGTGTGCAACAGGAACTTCTTACCAAAGAGACCTCCAGTGTGGAGCAAGTCTTTCGACAGTCGCTACTCCAAACCCAGCCAAGTGCTTCGCGTGGCACGGATGTGCGAGTGTCGAAAATGACGGCCGGCTTCGAGGTAATCGGAGGAATGGAGTCACTGAAACGCACCTTGCAAGTCTCTGTTTTGGCGGGTCTTCGACAGAGTGCCGCATTCGCCCGTTTCGGACTGACTCTGCCCAAGGGAGTGCTGCTCTATGGACCACCTGGATGTGCCAAAACCACTATTGCCAAGTGCCTGGCCAAGGAGGCCAACATGACCTTTATTGCCACCTCGGCGGCGGAGGTATACTCGCCCTACGTGGGATGTGCCGAGAGATTTATTTCGCGGATCTTCGACACCGCGCGTAAAAACGCACCTTGCCTGATATTCCTAGATGAGATTGGTAAGATAAGATCAATTCTCCAAAAAGTGTACAAGTTAACATAAAATCTTCGCTTAATAGATTCCCTAGTTGGCAGAAGGACAGTTTCAAGTGGCGGTGGCGGTGGGCAAGTTCAGCTGCGGATTCTATCCACCTTGCTCACCGAAATGGACGGAATTGTGGGTGGAGGCACTCAACAGCACATACTCGTGGTGGCGGCGACCAATCGTCCGGATATGATCGATGACGCCCTGATACGACCCGGTCGCTTTGACAAACTCATCCATGTTCCAGCCCCGGATGAGGAGTCTCGTCTGGCATTGTTGAAACTTCACGCTAAGCGAATGCCCTTCCACCGAAATGTGGTTCTTGATGAGATTGCAACGCGCACTGATCGTTGCTCTGGCGCGGATCTGTGTAATCTCTGCAATGAGGCTGCCATCGAGGCTTTCCAGCGTGACTTTGAGGCCACTGAAATTGAGCTGCAGGATTTTGAAAAGGTGCTGGCCAAACAAAAATCCTCGCTTACGCAAAACCAAATAGATGCTTACTACAAATTTGCCAGTAGGTTTTCGTAAAATCGAAAAAGAAAATTTAGAATAATACTTAGAAGGTTCGAATTTTTAGGTATGATATAATAAATTTGTTAAATTTAACATATTGTTTTATTAAGCTAAATAATTACTTCGGTTACGTTTTTATTCAACTTCAAATCAACATTCAAATCGATAGATTGGCGCCTACATATGTTATTCGATTTATTCTCAGTTATCGAGCTCAGCTGATTCAACGATTGCACTCTGCGGGAACAAAACAAAGGAAAAACAGAAAACGTTAACGCAATTAAGCGAAGTAAAAAAGCCTAGATTATCGCCCCAAAACACAGAGGCAGTGAGTCACGGGAAAAAGCTTTCCGGCCAGAATGGCAGATACCCGTAAAGACGCTGCGCCGCCGAGCTACGAGGAAGTTATGAATTCTCCGTCGCAGGGTAAGAATCAGGCCCTTAAAAGGCGTTTAATTAAGCAGTATTTAATCCCAGATTCCCGGCTAATAGCTGGCGTTCATCATGGAGCACCCAGTGCGCCACCCCCGAACATGCACATGCCCACGCCCACCTACGGAGCGTTTGAGACGACGCCAGTGAGTGTTGTGATCCAGTCTGCTCCGGTGGCCATGCCCACGGAGATCATCGTCATCGGAGGATGTCCCGCCTGCAGGATTGGCTACCTGGAAGACACCTACTCTGCCTGCGGATTGTGCTGCGCCATCTTCTTCTTCCCGTTAGGAATCCTCTGCTGCTTGGCGATGCGGGAGAAACGCTGCTCCAACTGCGGAACAATTTTCTAAAGGGTCTTTCCCACAGAAATACTAAATCAGCCCCATTTTCCCTATTGGCTTTTGTAACCGTCTTCTACAGGTGATTCCTCAAAAACCTTGCAGCTCTGCTGCACCAACAGAAGGACTTCTAACAGGAAATATATACAAAGAAATCAGAAAAAACACACCCCTTTCGCCTTCGGCGGATTCCTGTGACTATTCCTCAGTGACGACTGTTATTTTGATATCACAAAACTCCAATACTTTTATTAATAATAATCGTTAGCTCACAAATCGTTAAATATTATATGTAAATATTAATCATGGCTGTTTGCGGTGTGCCCCCGTTTTCCAGTCACTGTCCGGCGATTGCTTATAAAGAGAGTGGCCATGTACAGTAGAACTTGCTTACCAACCGATTTTGATCAACAAAAATTATGAACATTTATTCTAAAAAATCTTGGTTAAAGAAAAGTCTTGTTTCCTCTAAAAAGTGTATAAAATTATTATAGTTTTAAAATGGTGATTAGAAATAAAATGATTTTATTATAAAAAGGCAGACATTTTCTAAATTTACTAAAGTTTTTAATATGTGCAAATATTCCATATGTACAATAAACAAATAATGGATGATAAGTCCGTGATTCAAAACATGTTTGTTTTTTGGTAAATAGTGGTTACATTTATGTGATTAAAAGTTGAACTGATGAAAGTTGTACTGTGTTCATTGTGCACTGAAAGCGTCGTCGAGGCGCGCTTCCGTTAAAATCAATTGAAATATAATGGAGGGCGGTTTTGAATTACGCCCGCGTCCGTATTTTCCATGCTCTTTACGCTTTGCCGCGAAAACTGTAAACAAGTGGAAGATATAAACCGGAAATAACGACCCAGAGATACCCAAAACATTAAGTAAGGGATAAGCTTTTACTCATATGTACATTTTACGTGACTATTTCATCTTTTTCATGAGGAATCAACAAATTAAAGGTAACGCTAACAGTAATAAAAAAAAGTGTCGTTTGTTTATCTTGTTAAAATTAAAACATTTACAGTTGTTTAAATAAAAAAGTTAACTTTATTAGTTGCAGAAATGTTTGTAAAGTTTGTTTCGAAACCAATAAGTTACTGATATACCCCTTTATCCGATTTCATGGGCACAGGGTAGCACAACAAATTCGCCGGCATCCACATCCGCCGTGTCAGCATCTTCGAGTCAACAGTCGCGAATTTCCTTTGCCGTGGACATGACCACTGCTCGCCTCCTGTTCTCGCTGATGATTCCAGTGCTGCTGGAGGCAGTTCTTCCCCCACGAAGACCCAATGTGGTGATGGTGATCTTTGACGATCTGCGTCCAGTGCTGGGAAGTTATGGTGATCCGCTGGCCAGCACCCCGTATCTGGATACCTTCGCTCGGGGAAGTCATGTGTTCACAAGGGCTTATAGCCAGGTAAGGATTATGCGGAACAACCTATCTGACTGCTATCACTGCTATATATTGTAAACCTTTTCAGCAATCACTCTGTGCGCCCAGCCGAAATTCCCTTCTCACGGGTCGACGACCGGATACCCTGCACCTGTACGACTTCTACAGCTACTGGCGCACTTTCACCGGTAACTTCACGACTCTGCCGCAGTACTTTAAGGAGCACGGGTACTACACATACAGCTGTGGGAAGGTATTTCATCCGGGGCTGTCCTCCAACAACACGGACGACTATCCCCTGAGTTGGTCAGCTCCAGCTTTCCGACCGCGAACCGAGCAGTTTATGAACTCGCCGGTTTGTCCGGATCGCGAGGGCATTCTGCGGAAGAACCTCATCTGCCCGGTGGACCTGCAAACCCAGCCGTACAAAACCCTGCCGGACATTGAGTCCGTGGCGGAGGCACTGCGCTTTGTGGAATCCCGGAAGAACAACAATCGGGAGCCCTTTTTCCTGGCCATGGGGTTCCACAAGCCGCACATTAACTTCCGCTTTCCGCGACAGTTCCTTTCGCGGTTCCGCCTCTCGCAGTTCTTCAACTACACGGAGGACCGACTGAAGCCACCGGACATGCCGGCGGTGGCCTGGAACCCCTTCACGGATGTGCGGGCCAGGGACGACTTCAAGCACTCCAACATATCCTTTCCCTACGGACCGATTTCCAGGCACCAAGCAGCTCAGATTCGACAGGGATACTACGCCTCGGTGGCCTACGTGGATGACCTGTTCGGCAAGCTGATCGAAGGACTGAATCTGGACGAAACGGTGGTGGTGGTTCTGGGCGATCACGGCTGGTCCTTGGGCGAACACGCGGAGTGGGCCAAGTACAGCAACTTCGAGGTGGCCCTCAGGGTGCCCCTGATCATAAGGAGTCCGCAGTTCCCGGTCAGCCAGACGAAGTTCTACCACGGGATCACCGAACTTCTGGATGTGTTTCCCACCTTGGTGGATCTCGCTGCGCTACCCAAGCTCCCCACCTGCCAGGACTCTCTACAGTTGACCTGCGGCGAGGGCAAGAGCCTGTACTTTCAGCTTATGGGTTTGGGCAGGGGTGAGTATCTTAACACATCTTAATATATTTTTTATATCTTTTTTATATCTATAAAAATTATATATTGTTTAGCTGAGGAACATGTGGCACTCAGCCAGTATCCCCGACCCGGAATGCTGCCCACAAAGCACCCAAACAGCGATAAGCCGAAGTTAAGGAACATAAAAATAATGGGCTATAGCCTCAGGACGGATGTATATAGGTACACCTTGTGGGTGAGGTTCCACTCCCAAAACTTTAGCAGAGGTAAGGTGAAAACAATCACTGAATATTTAGAGTTAAGCGGAGTTTTTTACAACTCTACATAAGCTATTAATAATTTTCTGATTAAAAACTTAATTTGTACATTTGCTTTTCAGACTGGCATGATGTTTATGGCGAGGAGCTGTACGACCACCGACTGGATTCTGGAGAGGAGCTGAACCTGGTGCCCCTGCCCGAGTTCGACGATGTCCGCCAGCGACTGCGACGACGTTTGATGGAGGTCGTGGGCAGCTAGTGGAGATCGGCGATCGGCGTTCGGAGATCCTCCGTTTCCCCGCCGAAACCCTCTGATTTTGAATGAATTCATAAGCAATAAAGGCAGCGCGACAAACGATCGCGGGTCGGCGAAATATCTTGTCGCCATAATTGGAATTTAATACTTCCGGTTGGGCAACAACGTTCGCGAGACGCCCAGACATGCTGCATATTTTTCGCTGTAATTTCTGCGATGGCCCCCCTTTTGGAGACCGACCCCCTGCTCCCCAGGTCCCCAGAGCCCCAATAAAATGAAAAACACAATCCGATCCACTCCGATCCGATCCGCGCATGCGTGACTGGTGTCCATTGCCTTTTTGGCTTCGTTTTTGTGGATTTTTGTGAATGAAATTTCATTCAACGTTGGCGGCAAGCGCGTCTCGCTGCGTTGGCGTCGGCAGCGACGTCGACGCCCAAATCGAGAGAGGATGGGGAGAGGAGTGGAGGAGAGTGGGGACCGGAGTGTCGAGGGGAGACAAGTGGGGGAGTGGGCAGCTCTACGTTGGCGACTCTTTACGAGCTTTCATTTTCGCTTCGGCTTGTTGCCAGGCGAGTGAAAATCTAAACACTAAGAAAAATTTCGATGGTTATTAGGAAGTTTTCATAAAAGAAGACAAAGCAAAAAACAATTACAATATCCGAAGGAAAAGCCCTACTGCTTCAAAGGTAAACTTCACAAGAAGTAAAAGTTCCCCATTAAATATATACCATCCCTAAGCGATCAACATTTTGTGTGAGTGTACAACCGAGTCTGGTAATTAAATCTGCAGCCGCTTGATCGATGTGATCCCCCCGCCCCTGCGGACCCCCTTCCCAGTCCCCGCCTTTAACCCACTCTTTCTCTACGTGCTCTCTAATGTGCATATTTGGTGTGGGCTGCGTTTTGGGTTCGCCATGTGGGCTGTCTTTCTGGAGGTGATTAAACTGCATTTTGGCAGCACTTTCAAACATTTCAAAAAGTATGTGTCTCAAAGAAGGCGTGGCCATTGCGACTTTATGATTTTTGTCATATTTCTCGAGACTTTGTGGCTTTTACAATTCCATTCACTAATTTTGGTTAATAGTGCTTTGCAGAGAAAAATATAGTTTGTTGCAGTTGATTAATTATTTTTCAAACTGAAGATCTATGTTCAGAAATCATACCTTTTTTTAAGTTTACGAAATAATCAGTAGAATTACTCTGCCCGAAGTAGTTAAATTCAGTTTTAAAACACAATAATTTGAACATTTAACATATTAAGTTTGAAAGCTCCATAAGCATGAGGAGGGCTGACGGCAAAGATGGTAATAGAACTATTTAAGGTGTGTTCCCCCTCCTCCAGCCCGTTCCCCGCTCATGTTAATATTATTTACCACATCCACCTACCATAACTTATTTTTACATTGCCATTTCCGCTGTGGGCTTTTCTCTCATTCATTTTCTTTACCGTTGCTCTGTTGACAGCCTTTTTCTTTAATTCGCGCTAGTGCTCCTCCTCCCAATGGGTGGGTCCATCCCCCCTTTTGCCCAATTTGGAGTCGGAGAGGGGCGGAGAATCAGGAGGGTGGGCGGTGCATATATGCAGCTAGTATAGCAGCGAGTATAGCCCGTGTGGGGCCTTTGGCTTGGAGTGTCTGTTTCGGTTTTGAGTTTTGCGGCTAACCGCAGCACAGTCGCATAGCGCGTGTGTTATAATAATCTATGGCACTTTAGAGGTTTAACCGATGGCCGGATAGATACAGCCACAGATACAGATGGAGATAGAGACGGAGATACAGTTCCAGATAGGCTGGCTTAGATGGATAGCGTGGCCAGATACCCAGATACTCAGGTACCGGCTGGGAGCTGTGGTAAATGTGGCAGACACTCGGGCGGGCTGGCTCTAAACTGTATTATACAGTTCGTTTCATTTGGATAGGACACCTAGCAACTTTTATGGTTAATCGCTCGTAGCGAAGACAAAAATCGTTGAAAGCTAAAATTTTTTTTAAGTTATAATCTCTGTTCTATTGTGATTCTAAAATGCAGTTACATTTTTCATTATTGCTTTCCACACTTTTTTATTTGAGCTTTTGCACTGCTGCATGGTTTTTTGAATGCTGAAAATCGTTTCATTTGGATAGGACACTTGTCAGAAATCACTTTTGTACAGTGCGCAGTTTGTTTAAAACGTTTTTTTTCAATCTGATGCTATTATTGATCAAATGGAACTAAAATAGGCCTTGGATCGGCACTCCAGGATAAAGATGGGAAAATTATGGGGGAAAATTGATGCATATTTGGACTCAGGCCTTAATGTGACCCAAATCGCCACGAAAATAAAAAAAATCGCGAAATGTTGTACACAATTTATTAACAGATAATGAAAACTATAAAAAAAAATTATAAAGGGCTCCAAAAAACAAAGTTAAACGTTCGAGATAAGCGGCTTCTAGTGAAAAAGGCCTCCAATTTCCCCATGTCCTGCCCCGTTTTGGCTCATTATGAGGCCAACAAGGCGTCTAAAACCCCATTTGGCGGACTTTACACACTTGCTAACACTTGGGGCCATCAAAAATGGCAAGTTCTCCAAGAATCACAGAGATCCATCGTCAGGCGCGGCACAATTTTGGAAAATACAACTTTAAAACGAATTGGCGCTCAGTAAGCTATTCTTAAAGGCTCCTGCTAAGCTCTATTTTAATATTTTTTAATGTTTGGATTATATTTTTCGATGAAAAAAACTTAATTTGAGCCCATCCGGGCCATTTAAATATAATCCAAACATTAAAAAATATTAAAATAGAGCTTAGCAGGAGCCTTTAAGAATAGCTTACTGAGCGCCAATTCGTTTTAAAGTTGTATTTTCCAAAATTGTGCCGCGCCTGACGATGGATCTCTGTGATTCTTGGAGAACTTGCCATTTTTGATGGCCCCAAGTGTTAGCAAGTGTGTAAAGTCCGCCAAATGGGGTTTTAGACGCCTTGTTGGCCTCATAATGAGCCAAAACGGGGCAGGACATGGGGAAATTGGAGGCCTTTTTCACTAGAAGCCGCTTATCTCGAACGTTTAACTTTGTTTTTTGGAGCCCTTTATAATTTTTTTTATAGTTTTCATTATCTGTTAATAAATTGTGTACAACATTTCGCGATTTTTTTTATTTTCGTGGCGATTTGGGTCACATTATGGCCTGAGTCCAAATATGCATCAATTTTCCCCATAATTTTCCCATCTTTATCCTGGAGTGCCGATCCAAGGCCTATTTTAGTTCCATTTGATCAATAATAGCATCAGATTGAAAAAAAAAAAACGTTTTAAACAAACTGCGCACTGTACAAAAGTGATTTCTGACAAGTGTCCTATCCAAATGAAACGATTTTCAGCATTCAAAAAACCATGCAGCAGTGCAAAAGCTCAAATAAAAAAGTGTGGAAAGCAATAATGAAAAAATGTAACTGCATTTTAGAATCACAATAGAACAGAGATTATAACTTTAAAAAAAATTTTAGCTTTCAACGATTTTTGTCTTCGCTACGAGCGATTAACCATAAAAGTTGCTAGGTGTCCTATCCAAATGAAACGAACTGTATATCTGTGGCCATAAAGCCCACGAGAGCTGTTTTTAAGTGGCATACACATTAAAAAACGATGATGAATTTTTGTGTAAAAATGAATTTTCCAATTTTGTTTTTTAGGTATCTTAGCCAATATGTTACTTACAGAAAAAAGGCGCACTGTTTTAGACACTTGGGAACCCTGTCTAACAATTCCTATCACTTTCCTGCGGATTCCGAAAAAATATTTTTTACCAAATTTTAACAAGATATTATTTCATATTTTAACTATTTTTTGCCTTGTTATGATTCAAATACTGTTTATTTAAGCAGTAAGTGACCATAAAAGATATTTTTCTTTCTGTGTAGTCAAAAAATATAGCGAATAATGCGAATACAACTTTAATTTGAATTTGTAGGCTGCTTTGCCGTTTATTTCTAAGCAAACTCAAATGCGTGGGCGGCTCAAACGAAATTGCAAAAGATGCGTAGGCAGCGACAGAGACGCTGACAGAGGCAGAGGCAGCGGCGTCGGCAGCGGCAGCAGCAGCAGCAGCAGCGACGGTCGACCGAGCGGCACAAATGCGACAACAACAACTAGAAAATGTGTATAAAGTGGATATAGTTCATCATGCGGACCGAAGTCGGCTTACCTACGCATCTGACGAAGCTCGAACAGCTCACATCTTACAGCGCTAAAATCCAAGTGTAAATCGGGTTCTCGGGGCCCCCTACGTACTTCTCAAACACTCGGAAAAAATATATGGTATTTGAGAAAATTGTAACATACTTATTAAGAGAATCCCTTAGCACTTCAGCACCACATAACATTAATTATGAAGATTTTTTTACTTTGGTTATTCCATTGATAAATAGAAAATTCTACAACCAAATGGGAGTTTTAGTATTAAAGGTTCTACTAAATTAAAAAAAAATATTCTTTGTGTAGCTGTACTCACAGACTCATAGTTGTTGCTGCCGGCCTCCCGCTGTAAAAAATGCTAATTTTCGTTGACATGCCATAGTTTGGCTAATGACGAAGGTTGTTTGTTAGCTTTGTCAGTTGACTTGACGCCGTTGCCAAAAAAAAAAAAAAAAAAATAGTAAAAAATATAGAAGAAGAAACCTAAAACTGGTTGCCATGTGAGAGAGATGCGAGAGAGTAATGTGGATAGCGATGGAGGGGGTTAGAAATTTCTTTTGACGGAATTTCCATGAATTAATGCCGCTGCCGGATTATGCCGCTCCTCAGGTGTCCGGCACTTGTGTGCCTTATATATGGTTATAGGCCGATATTAAGTCGGAGGCCCAAGCAGATCTCAAGCTGTGGCAATCAGGAAATGTTCGTATATCCCCCGTTCGGGGTATTTGGCCCCGCTAAATGAATGATCGTCATCATCCAATTCAGTAGCTTGGCAGGGCAGCAGATTTTTTGGACTGATAGCGAGACTACCTAAGATCTGGCTGGCGATTCATTCATTAACCCAGTATTAATTTGATTATTCCGTTTTGTAATTATTCATGGAGCCCACAAAGCCACAGTTTGTGTTTAAATCGAATAACTTAAGAGCTGAAA